TATCCATCCCTGTGCATCCTTCATTCAAGCTGACAATATCACACACACTGAATTCAAGAAAAGCACTTGAGCAATTCCAATCATTAGATACACAGCTGGAAGAATGGACTGGATTGAAGCAGAGCTAAAACCCCTGGATAGGAAGAGCAGAAACACAATAAAGAATTATGCTCTTCATCCATGCAGTAATCTTGACAGACTCATCAAAGAAAATAGAATGTTGCAAGCATAAGTATTACATGGCCAATACATTTTTTAAAAATAATAGGCAGTCATAGAACAGAACAGAACAGAATAGAATAGAGCTGGAAGGGACCTTGGAGGTCTTCTAGTCTGTCCGCCTGCTCAAGCAGGAGGTCCTATACGATCTCAGTCAGATAATTGTCCAGTTTTTAAAAAAACTTCCAGTGATGGAGCGCCCACGATTTCTGGGGGTAAGCTGTAAGCTGGTTGATAGTTTCTCCTTAATTCCAGGTTGCTTCTCTCCTTGATCAGCTTCCAACCATTATTTCTTGTCCTTCCCTTTGGTGCTCTGGTGAACAACCTGTCCCCCTCTGCCTTGTGGCAGCCCCTCAGATACTGTAATACTGCTATACCCAAGTTCCGCAGCCATTCTTCATACGTTTTAGTCTCCAGGCCTTTGATCATCTTAGTTGCTCTTCTCTGAATTTTTTCCAGTCTCTCAACATCTTCTTTGTAATATGGTGACCAAAATTGGCTGAAATATTCAAGGTGTGGTCTTACTAGGGCTTTATAAAGTGGTACTAATACTTCGCATGATCTTGATTCTATAATAACAAGATCAAGTTGTATAAAATGACAGAGGGGCTAATTCTGCCAGCACAAGACCAAGCTTTAATAACAAAGTCAGAATTGAGAAGATAGCAACAGACAAAAAGTGCCACCGCTGCAAAGAAGCTGAAGAAACAGTGGACCACCTGGTTAACTATTGCAAGAAGATCACACAGAATGACTACAAACAATGGCATGACAAAGTAGCAACAATGGTGCATTGGAAGATCTTCAAGAAATACTATTTGCCTGCAAGCAAGAATTGATGGGACCATAAAATAGACAAAGTCATAAAAATGAATAAGCTAAAGTACTCTGGGACTTTAGAATTCAAACTGACAGACACCTGTCACATAACACCCAAGATTTAACAATTGTCAATAAAAAAAGACAAAAAAAGTCTGGATAGTGAACATGGCAGTATCTGGAGACAGTAGAACAGAAGAGAAAGAACTGGAGAACATTACAAAATAGAAAGACTTGCAAATAGAAGTAGAATGATTGTGGCTAAAGAAAGCCAAGATAGGACCAATAATAGTAGAAACTTTAGGTTCCATCCCCAAACATCTGAAGTATCACTTGAACACCAGCAGCATTGACAAAATCAATTGCAAAAGACAGCTTTACTTGGAACCATTCTCATTTTGCAATGGTTCATTTAACAACATCAAACATAATCAAGTGCCTACCCTAGGTTCTTGGGAAAGGCTCCATAGTTGGATAAAAATGCCAAATCCAGTCTGAACATCTGATTGACTGTGCGAAGAAGCATAGTAATAATTTACTAAAGGTGTATGTCACCTGACTTTTAATGACACTAGGTGACTCACAATAGTGAAAAAAGTAATCACAATAAAATCAGTAAAACATAAAAAATAAAGGTAAAATGACAAACATGATGAAGCGAGGAGGGTCCCACTCCCTCACCAAAAACAAAGTCTTTCTCCCTTATTATCAGGAAACTTGAGGATTTCTCTTGTTTTTGATTTTCATTCTTGGAGGTACAAGGGACGACTATTAAAATGTTTTATTTCTGATATACATTTTTCCATCACTCTGAAGTCTCCCTAGCCACCCACACTTCATAAGCTTAAAAACCACAGGAGGAATACCCTTCTCCTGAAATTCAACTGAAGCATGGTAAGCATAACAAATGACATATACTCCTTGGCCAACGTGTAGCTAAGTAAGTTCAAGAATATAGCATTCCACCACATTTGCAACTTCCTTCTTATTCTTCTTTGAAAGAATTTCTAAAACAACTTCACTTTCATCAAATTGAATGAGAACTGGTATAAAAAATGCAGCATCATTTCTCTGCAAGGCATCGATTCTATCACGATAAAAACTTTATACGAGTTTTATACCACAACAATGGAGAATCCAACAACTGAGAATTTAGCAGGCAAGAGCTACTGGTTTGTGATTCAAATTCTACCCCTTGGGAAGATTTGAGTGGGCTTGTTCTTCAGTGAGATTTCTAAATAGCAAGTGGTTTGGAATTTCATTCCTGGATGACATTTTTAACATTTGGAACATAGTGGCTTGCTAAACGTCTTAGGGTCAGAAGGCATGTTAAACATACATGCTTAACATATTCATTATCAATTATTGTCGGATCAAAAATACAAAGTTTGGCTCCAATGATAGACATTGCTCATGGCCAAACTTTCAAATAAATCCACTTGTTTTTTTTAAGGCACTGTACTGCAATTCAGGTAGGGGATTTTCATGCTGTCAAACCCTCTTTTCCTTGGCAACCCACAGTGTTACTCATGCTAGGTATTATTTCCTTTGTCCTCTCTCCAGTCTGCATCTTGCTTTCTGCAGGACTGAGTCACAGCATCTTCCTTTGTCAGGAAAAAAATGGACCTTCCTTTTCAGGTGTCACCAGGAAATACAAAATAAAAATAACGCTAGGAAAACCACAAGCTGCAAGGTTTTTCGCCACTTCTGTGAGATTTTTGAACAACCTTCTGGAATTTTGTTTTTTAAAAAAGAGGTTTTCATCCATTCAGTGCATAATAATTCTTAGCCCCGTCTGCACTGCCTGCAGGATTTTAGAAAGCCCTAGGAAAGATAGTTCATTTGACCTCTCTACAGTGCAATTTATTTAGAAATAAGCCTTATTAAGTTCAGTGGGGACTTATTCTCAGGTAAAGGATTGCAGCTTTCATCTGCTGTCAAATACCAGCCCTGTCCAAACCTTCTAAGAATATATGTATCAAGTAAAATATTGACAACCTCTGTCTCAAGATATCTGTTTTATACTCAGTAAAAATGCAGAGAGACAGCTGCTTGAATTACACAAAGTTAGGATCTTATACTCTATGGCAAATATTTGTTTTATTTTATATTCAAATGGGAAAATTCTTGTCAATTAGTTCTGTGAATCATATCCTAAAGAAACATAAAACTATGAATCACATACAGTGTCTTTTGGTAATACATTTATGGTTGTAGTTGAATAGGAAGATAACCTTGAAGAAAGTATGTAGCAGCTATTAGGAAAACATCAGCTTAGTCCATAAATACAGGAAGAGGTGAGACGGAAAATCAAGTTTATCCCACCTTGACTCTCTTTGGTGTAAGAGGGAGGAAAATGAGAAACTTTGTCAGGCTTTCAAGATTCTATTATTATACCTAAGGTGACCAACTTTTTTACAATGAAAAGGAGGACACAAATAAATTGAAGAAAAAAATATTGTAAATAAAAGAAACATTTTATTCATTGCAACAATAATACAGAATACACTACAATATGATAAATGCATAATAAAAGCATTTGTAACAATAACATTTTGTACTGTAATTATGCTTACATGTTACGCCCCCGCCCGCAGCCACCCCAACAGCACTGCTGCCCCATGTGTAGAGCGGGCCCCACGGCTCCCAAAGCACCAGCTGCCCTGCCCACAGCAGCCCCGCCATCCCTGCCTCTTGTGCCCACAGCCATTATTGCCCTAGCAGGACCGAAGATCAAGAGAAAGTTACTGTGGCGTCGCCGCTCCAGTCTCCTCCAGCTATCTTCGGGACTAACTAGGAGATGGTGTAGTTGGGTAGCCGGGAGGGGTGCAAAATTCCTGCCAATTCGCCTTCACTGCAGACAACTTACATGTGCAAAGTTTGCCGGCCGGGTGTTTTGGCGCACTCAGCAGAAATTCCTATTGGCTTTCAAAAGCCAATAGGGGGAGTAGCACAGCTCATGCAAAAGTTGAAAAAAAAATCAAAAAAAGTGCCAGAACGCCGTTCTGAGCGTTCTATGAGAAAAAAAAGCCCTGCAGATTAGTCTTCAAATATCTAAAAGGAGGATATGTAGGAGGGCACTTTTCGAGGGAGGACAGAACTCACAAAAGGAGGACTGTCCTCCCTAAAGGAGGACAGTTGGTCACCTTATTATACCTTATAACAAGAATTGTAGCTGTTCTTATTTCATCTGTACCTTAACTTTGAACAGCTGACAACAGTGAGCATTAACAAGCTAATTGTTTATGGAGATTCTCAGGTGTGGTTTTTTTCCAAAGAGGCAACTGGACTTTCTTTGTTTTTTCTTAAAGATGTTTCACTTCTCATCAAAGAAACATCTTCTGTTCTGACAGTCCAGTTGCCTCTTGGAAAAAAGCACCTTTGAGTCAGCAAGCTAAACAGGATGCTTTGCAAATTCAGGCAAACCATTGCTACCATCTGGTCTATTTTTTTTCCTAATCTGACCCTCACTCCCCACACCACCACTCAGGGCATGTACTAAAGTTAAGGCTCACCTGGAATTTGGGAGGTCCTATCATTATCTATTAGATTGACCTCTCTCACAGTGCCTTTTTCTGGCAGTCTCTACAAAATGTAATTTGAGTGTGCCTACCACATTACCTGTAGTCCCGTAATATCACCACACTACTGCTGTTCAACTCAGTAAGAGAAAGTCTGCCTTCATTTTCCCTTGTACCTGTCTACTCCAGGGCAAGGGATTTTCTTCTTTCTGCCAATCACTAATGCTTCATGCCTCACTAATGGAGACAGGAAAATATCCAGCAGGCTGAACAATACAGAGCTGCTGCTATTGTGAGCTCATCCTGAAGTTGTCCAATTAGAAAGACTGGCCATTGTGAACTCATTCCTTGCCTGAAAGAGAAACAGGCCATTGTGATGTCATGCAATGCAGAGAATCCACCTCTTTTAATCTCAGATCAATGTTATAGCTAAGGAAAGAAGAACTAGCTGTTGTACCATCTGTCATCTGATGTTCAACTGAAGAAAAACACCAGACTCTCCTTGGTCGGCAACCATTTTCATACTAAAGGTCTGTTTTGAACTCTGGAACTGATTCAGATTTTGATCCTCTCATCCTCTCAAATATTAATTGTTGTTCTCAGATAGATAGGAAAGCCAGTCCCACTGTTTATCCTTTTTTGAACATTTATCCTTGAGGGCAACCAGAAAAGGTGTCACCAGTCTCCTTTTCATCTGATAATAAATATTTCAGGATGTGACATCTGACATAAATTATCAGAATAATGTCATACAGAAACCATATAGAAATTCAAGATTTTTAGTGCTGATAGATAACATAAGTGATCCCAAGAACAAACCCTTTCCCTCAGGTACTTGGAAAAGAACATCTTGCTTTGTAAATTTTCGAAAGTAAACCCTATAAAAAGATCTGCAATGGGTGCCCATATGATGCAGAGTGGACCAAAAGGCATTGACTTGAATCTGTCTGACCCAAAGCCCTCCAAGATGGATTTTGGAAATAAACCTTGGAGATAGAGAAAGACCTGAGTTAGCCCAGAAACTGGTGTTACATATTCTTTCCTGCTGACATCAATTGAAAAAATGTACATAACAAAATATTAATATTTAACCTCTTCCATTTCCTATGCCACTAGCATTAGCTAAAACACATGACAAGGTTGTTCCTCTGACTTGCTTTTTCTTTCTTTCTTTCACCTGTCCCATAATGACAAAAAATAAGAAAAGTTTTTTTTAAAAAGGGGGCATTTGACAATCTTAGTACAACTATTCAAATATATTCATCATGGAATGCTCGTTTTCACTGAAAAGATTCCTCAGCAATTCTTTAGTAAAAGAGATTCTAAGGCAGTTACAATTTCTGGAACAAAATTAATCATGTCACTGTCAATAAAGTACATTAATACGTCAATGACAGCAAAGAAGAGGCTGATGAAATTACTGAAACTTCAGTAGTTTAAAGTAATCTCTTAAAATGTGGAGGAGGAGGAAGAGGAGGAGAAGGAGGAGGAGGAGGAGGAGGAAGAAGAAGAAGAAGAAGAAGAAGAAGAAGAAGAAGAAGAAGAAGAAGAAGAAGAAGAAGATGACGACGTAGTAGTAGTAGTAGTAGTAGTAGTAGTAGTAGTAGTAGTAGTAGTAGTAGTAGTAGTCTAGTGGCATCTTTTCAAATTATCAAGTTTCATTAAAAACTTTTGTGAGCCACTCTGATGAAATCATTTGCAACAAATTAAATTTATTAGTCAGAAAAGGTGTTTCGGGGCTCCTATTATTTTTTTTTATCTATCATAGACTAATACAGGTCTTGTTTCCTTTGTAAAAACTTAATGTAATACAAGGTAAATCACTGGTCAAGTTGACTTTGATTCCTGAAGACTTCACAAATAAAGCAAGGTAGTTATGGGCAACAGAACATCATCTTTGTCAAACATATTTTCTGAATTTCCCTGTCTAGCCTCCATACTGGTCTTTCACAAGGGACTGACATCCAAATATTAACCAGGTCTGATGTTGCATAGCTTTTCAAGATCATCTATAGTGGTTCTGGGTGCCACTGCCTAACAGAGTCTTCTCTAGAAAAACAGTTAAAAGTACCTTGCTATCTCTCTGAATTGAATCTCAAAGCACACTGCAAGTTGGCACGATATGAATACATTTAACAGCATCCAAATTCTGGTGGCTGACTTGGCACTAATTGAAGTTGCATCCAAAGATAGCTCCATGTATTATACATTACAGCAGTTCAGATGAAAATTTATCAGAGCATGGTGAATGTAAAAGAGCAATTTAGGAGAGAATAATTAATTTCATCTGTTCAGGACAATTTCCCTAAATTCCTTTCCTTTCAATAATGATGGTTTCAGATACCCAACCAACCAAATCAATAAAATAATTTTAAGCTCTCAAGGCCAACTGGACATTCAGAGACATCACTGCATTAAAAACATTCTTTCTTATATCAAACCCACCCTTTAAATGCCATCTTATCCAGAAACAGTTGAATATTTATTCCATAGATATGGGAATCAGTTCCCCAGGATTATACCTGTGGGATCTTACAGAATCATGAAACTATTAGTAGGCCCTGAAGTTAAATACCAACCACTTTATAGTTCATTGCTGTAAAATAGAGATGAACATTGTATTTCTCACTTTCTGTCTTAAGCCATCATACATACTCAATCACATATAATTAATATCATCAACAATTTTACATTATTTGTGAATCATAATAGCATTTTTTTTAAAAAATGTCCAAATGAAGAGAAAAAAATGTTTCCAAAGAATAACTCATATCCAACAGAATATTATCAAATACTTGTAAAAGGAAAAGCCAGAACAAATAAAAATATAAAAACTGTAGTGGTGAATTAGGTAAAAAAAAAAAGCTTGCATTATGTAAGAAGAGGTAAAATGGCAACTCTCACCTGACTATTTGACAGTACAATACAGATGGGTAATCAAAATATCACTTCTTTTATCAGCTTCAGCAACAACCTAACAGTGGCAGGAATGGTACAATAAGGTTGTTAGGGACTTGCTGTCATTAACACTGTGATTGTGTGAACTCAGTCTCACCTCAGGACAAGATATCAGTGACATCTTTTCAATGATCCCGACTCTGTCAGAATAAGTAGAGGAAAAATAAAAGTTTCTTTATAAGGAAATTTATATGAACATGTGTGTCATCAATTTTTCTTCTTACACATTACAAAATAATTCAAATATAAAGTAGATTGTCTTACTTTTTTTTCTAATTCCCACCACCTGTACTATAATTTTGCCTAATCTTCTTGTGTTTATTACAGTTAGGACTGACCCTTCTTGGGATTTGCAGAACTAGATGTCTTTGTTCCTAGCTTTGGACTTAGATTACTGTGCATATTGAATAGGAGATCAGAATCAGGACCAAACTGAAGTATTGCTTCACAGTGCAGAAATCAGAATATGTTACATTAATACTCATGAATAAAATGCCAAACTTCTGAATATTTTCAAATGCTCACAAGAATTAACAGTATAGTTTTTTAAAAAATGTTTTAAAATTAGAGACATTTTTTACCTAATGAAAGGGAGGGGAGAAACTAGAGTCTTCCTTCCTTCCTTCCTTCCTTCCTTCCTTCCTTCCTTCCTTCCTTCCTTCCTTCCTTCCTTCCTTCCTTCCTTCCTTCCTTCCTTCCTTCCTTCCTGTCTCTCTCTTTCTCCTTCTGTCCCCTTTTTAGGTAACACTTATTAAAGATGCTAAAAAAAGAATATAAAAACTGAAATTTGCATTCACTGTGGAATGCGTTCCATTCTAAATTGGAGAAAATAATAATAGTTTCATCTCACAGCCAGAGCAAGTAGTTAAGTAAAATCACACTTGGTATGACTATGAGATGCTTTGATTCAAAGATACAGTTCAAAGGCCATTTAAATTGAATAGTCACATTGATTTGAGCCTTTCTATGGGCCCAGCAAGTTTTTTGTTTTACTTTATTTAAATTGAATATTGGAATTGGAATTGATAGTTGGAATTGATAGTTCGACTGAATTAATTCTGAAAACAAATCACACATTCAAATGGAATCATCACTTTGGGCTGCATCTTGCCTCATTTGCACATTCCTATTTTATCAGGCACAAATTGTTCCAAAATACGAAATAACAGTTTATGGAGTCTGTGCTTTGCTCCGAGCAAGGCAGTGTTGTCTAATCCAACCTTTCTGAGGGAGTTATATAGTGACAAATCTAAGCATTCATCTAACCAGGAAGTTACCAGCTATTGATTCTGCAGAAAATAGCTGCTTATTTAACAAGCTTAAGCATGACTACTTTAATGACTTTAAAAGACATTTCAGCTTGATGCATTGGCAGTTTTCAGCAGGATCAGATTCAAATAAAAGCAGCAATTTTCAGGAGGAGGGGGTAAGAGTGAAGAAGAGAAATTAGTCTGAGGTATTATTAATTTTAAAAAGCATCATTCTCCTACATATTCAGAGTGGGAAATAAGGCCAAATGGAAGATGGGAGAAGGAGCTTGTTTGTTTTCCTACATAAAAATTTATTTCAATTTTGCATCTCTGTGCTCTGTGCTTGTGTGTGTGTGTGTGTGCTCTATGCTTGTGTGTGTGTGTGTGTGTGTGTGTGTGTGTGTGTGTGTGTGTGTGAGAGAGAGAGAGAGAGAGAGAGAGAGAGAGAGAGAGAGAGAGAGAGAGAGAGAGAGAGAGAGAGAGAGAGAGAGAGAGAATGTGTGTTTTCATGATTTTTCCCAAGTCTCCACAATGCCTATAGGAATCTCCATAGTTGAAAGGTCTCTGAATTCTTGGAAGTGGTTGGCAGTGACTCAAAACAGCCCAGCTGGCGTTTAGCCCAAGGCAGGATTAGATCACACAGTCGCCTGGTTTCAAGATCATTGCCTTTAACACCTTACTAATTTAGTTTTCACTATCACTGATAAGAGTTGCCAAATTCTTACCTGCAGTGATTTCTGTAAAATGGTATAAAACATCCTAACCTTGGAATGTTGACAAAGTGAAGTGTTCTGTTTTGTCCTGTCCTGTTCTGTGTTTTACTTTGCTTTAATTAATCATTCTCTTTTTAAGTTTTAACTTTTAATACCATATCTGACTGATTACACAGCATGTGTTGTATTTGGCCAATGCTTGTGTGTATTTATCTTGTTGGCTATTTTTAACTATAATTAAAAAATAATAACAACGGTTGTATAGATAAGCCCATCTCCTATTGTATATTTTATTGTTCTGTCACCTGCTTTTCCCCCCCAAAGATATTTTTTTACTAGTAAACAATTAAATAGCACCAACAATATGTTATGCTGCTAACTCTAGATGAATTTTTCAGCAGGCTCCATTGCAATGTATGTGGCTGATACATGAGGCTTATTATACCCAAGCGCATCTGCCATTCATTTAAGTAGTTTGGACTGCACAACTTTATTTATTAATCCCATTTATATGACTGCCCATTTCACTGAAATGATTCTGGGTGGCATACACCAATCAGTAAAAACAGCAAATACATTAAAACATCCATTATAGAAATATAGAGTAAT